TGAATCATGAGTGCATTATTTTTAAGGCAGAATCTGCTGTCCATAGCAAGCGTAGCGTGTGGTCTCCTGTTTCTTTCTCACAGCGTCATTCTCATTTATCAGTAACTGAAGAAAGAAGGGCGATTGACACCGACCAGAGCTTGAACTCTGATCCTATCGGCTCTGAGTTCGACGCTCTACCGACTGAGCAATCCGGATCTGAAGCAGTGGTAAATTTCTTGCTTAAGGATATTCGTGAATAGGACAGATATTTCCCAGCACCTCTGGAGCTCGAAACAAATGCCTTAGATACTGTGCCAGCACGACACGATGTGCAGAGAGGAGGGTAATACTGTAATTGCTAGGGAAACGTTTTAGGACTGTGACTTCTCTCTGTTAGTACCTTCATGTGTATGAAAGCTACCAAAATTTATTAGTTAGAAGCGGATGAGATTCATTAGAAGGTTTCGCACATCAGGCCTGATTTTCCGGTCACGTTTAGTGGGCAGTGATCAGAGTGTGTCGGGATCTTTGTCAGGATGAAGTAAGACGAAAGGCATTTGCCTTGCCGTCAAAGACTTTGCAGGCTCTAAAACGATCGATTATTGAAGACTACGCCTTTTAGGCAAATCGGCTGAAGAGAAGGAAGTTCCGACTGGAAATCCAGACGGAAAGATCTTGAGCCATTATCCATGTTGCTTCGGAGGGAAATTTTTTCACTCTTTTGGGTACCGTCTGGCCAAGGAATGACCTCTTGGGCAAAATGAAGGAAAAATGAAAAAATTGTTTCATTGATGAAATGTGAAAATGGAACTCGTTTTTGCAAGTGTTGATTTAATGGAATATTTGGCGAAATAATATCCAGACATGTTTACTAATGCCGTCATTCCTCACATCTTGAATGTGTAACGGACAGCGCTACCACTGATTATCTCACTACCGAATACCCATCGTGCAAGCCAAATACTGATGAAGCAGGAGAATCAACTATTCAGAAGTTTTCCTTAAGTGGCTTTACATTTGCTCCTGAACGTCATACGGAAAGACCATCCCCCTGACCAGGGCTTGAGATTTTTAATTTGTCATGTCGACATTTCACCGTATAACGCTTCATGAATCCCAGCTTCTGTTCACGCTTGTAAGTGTACTCAGCGACTTCTGCTGAATGACAGGCCAAAATGAAGTACCGCGGAGCGTATTCTTCACACCCACTTATTTACTTCACAGTGATCGGCTAAAATGAATTTAAGTGAAGGGCTGTAACCATGGCTTGTCAGTCATCCTGAAGTTTTCATGATTACGCCGTTTATGGCGCCCTTCTCTCATGGGTCTTATGGTGCGACGTATGGTTTTGTCCACAAAGTGATGTGATACTCGTTTTTCTCCCTCTGAACGATGCAGAGCACGAACTTCGACTCGAACCCACTCTTTCTTGGCTTTGAATTCGACACTCGACTCTGAGCGACCTCGGTCTTAGCTGCGATCTGCTAACGAGGTAGCTGGTGAAGTGGTGACTATTTGCTGGTGCGACCCCGGTATTTGTCTTGCTGAACAGGGCGAAGTCTTTGCCTGTCCATACCAACGGAATGGTTCATTTGACATGGTTTATGGCGAGTTCCAGTCAGATCTTCTCTGATGGCTGAAGCTCGCTGTTTCCCAGTTCCATGCATTGTTTCCTTTCATTGCAGACGTCATTCCATGTTCTGATTTGAGACATCAGGATGCTTTCAAGTGCTTTCTCTGGCATTAAACAGGACAATGGTTTTGTGATGTTTCGTCATTGTACTATGGAAATCTGCATCGAGCTTCGAAGCGGTCCGCTGGAGCAGTTATCTCAAGGTACCCATCTGTTTCTTATTCCAAAGCGTCCATTTTGTAGCATATTGTCAATATTCGAAGTTACCGATCAAGCTTTCTTTAAGTTTCTTCAGGTTTCTAATTCTAGGCCCAGAGTTATATACATAGTTGTTTGAATGATTCATAGTTCGAGGCACCAAATGCAGCACATTGTCAACGGTTGAATGCCAACGTGTTCCACTGCACAGACCGCAACATCATCAAGGCTGGACCGAATACAACTGACTGCTTGAAAGCATTTATACCCCACAACCTAACAGTGCCAACTTTCAACTGACTCATCACATACAGTTTAAGATGTTGTTACATTGACTGGACAGAGTATGATGTCACATCAAAGTAAATCGGATCTTTGTCATTTTGACCCGATTTTGCGTATCAGTTCTGTGATTGCGCCCCAGCCTTCACTGATAACAACGGAAGATATGTATTCGTTGCACATCCGGTTTTTCATTGCTAGTATAAGAGGGTGCCGCCGTTTGATTTTGAAGTTTCCATATATCGGAAACTAACACACTCCGACCGATACTTACACCCGGTGTCATGTGTCCCCCCTGTTTCTTAAGAACGTTATGAAGAACATGCGTTTGCGAGCCCAAGAGACCTTCACTAACACTTCGGGCCTAATCGCAGAAATCAAACATCTTCACCAAGCGTTCCTAAAGAACGGTTACCGTAGGAGAATCTTTGATGAACAACGTTTACGCACCAGCTCAAATTTAAAGTTAGCAAGTTCATATAGACCAATGGTAATTGCAGAGTTCATACTCCAGGCATCTCATCGTATTATGAGGTACCTTAATAACATAAGTTTTTGAGGTTTACTCCAACACTGGCAGAACATTTGGCGATATTTTATATAAAAAGTATATGCCCATTAAAATCCCGGAGAATTTGTTAAATGTTTTCTCCAGAGTTCTGTGCAGAGACTACGACGAGGTGTACATCAGAAAGACCCACCGAAAATTAAATATCTGTATAAAAGAGCACCTTGCTGCGGTCCGCCTTGAACAGGCTGACAATTCCTGTATTGCCCAACTTGCTTCTACTGAAAGGGCATTCTTTCAGTCAGACCAGTGTATCTGTCATAGACAAATACCAGTCGGCTGGTAAAGGAGTCCTTGCTTACACTAACAATGGAAACCCTTCTGTTGTCATAAGTGAAAGCTGGGACACAATCACAGAATTGATACGCAAAATTGGGTCACAGTGACAATGATCCGATGTATTTTGATGAGACAGTATACTCTATTCAGTCAGTGTAACATCCGCTTGACATAGACAACAGTTGTACGCGGATGTTCTATTCTAACCGGTCAAGTTCACCCGCCAGACATTGTCTTTCAAAGCGTAAAGCATAAGATCCGTTTACTTTTCTTGAAGGTGCCTAATTGAAGCTTACTGAAGAGGCAGTCTTTTCGTTCGCTGTCTGT